TTCACTCAGTCGACAGAGACAGCTACCATGTCAGTGTGTGATCTTGATGAGCCAATGCCTGTGCCATTTGTCGGCAAAGCGCTTTCAAAAGTAGTGCTAACACTGAAAACTACAGAGCTGTGGTTCTCCATGGTGAGTCACACCGATGAAGACCACCGACAGCTGGTCTTCGCGAATGACTGAAACGACAGCGTCCGTACAGTCTTCGCCTCTCAAGCGTCCTGACGTCATCAGGCCTCAAGCCTGCAGTGTTAGATTTACACGTCAAACTATGTCGAATATTTTAGCAACAATAATTTATAATGGCTTGTAACCCCATTCAAAATGCAGCTTGTTTTTGGAACATTTTTTTCAGACTTAAAAATATAAGTGGGGAAATTAGTTTAACAAATGCATAGTAAAAAGCACATTCCAGACTGTTTTTCATTTTGTTGAATGCATGTTGCCTGTAGCATTCCCAAATCTTTGCCGAATATATTCCAGCAATCTATTTTGTCACCATCTTATGTACCAAACAGATGTTTAGCCATGTTTTTTCGTCTGATACTACCTTAGTTGAGCATTTCTTCAGACTATGTCCATTTAACAAAGACACGGCTTCTGTGTATATCCCTGTATATTCAATGACTAAATTTACAGAATATATACCATATCCACAATACCGTACATTTATCATAATTATATAATATTATCACTTTGCTAAAAATACTTGGGGTTGATTTTCAATCATACAAAGTTCACTAAAATATCACATCATGATATCCTCACTTGGCCACTATTTCTGCCTCCCGCTCAGCTCAAACAAAATACGCCACGAGCCAGCTTGACAAATCAATCAGCTGTCACGGCACTGTCATCGTCCTTTTCCCCAGATTGGTTTGGCTTTAGATCCTGTTTGTTCGTTTTTTATTTCTTCACGTCTTCCCATTTGTTAGTGTGGCTACCTCAAAATAGCCTTCGAAATCGCTGACAAGACAATCTATCAAATCTAATACGGTATCGTCCAGTCTATAGCGACAGGGGAACAATCACTCAAACCGACACAACTCTGCCGTAGCACATATGTATATACAGTTGCAGGAGCATTCGATGGTCTGTTGAAATTGTTATTGCTTCGTGTGGAACAATGGAAACCCGATAGATGAGTGGACCGCTTACCTATTTAGAGTTAAAGACGGACTAGACGATATGACGGACTTTGGATCAGAAAAAGCAAAAGACAAAGACGACTAAGAAGCTTTACGATCCGCGGAAGGGATTTCCTCTTGGTTGTTACCAATGAACCAGACTTGATGGACAACGATGTGTGTGTGTGTGGGGGGGGGGGGGGGATAGAATGTAAAAACGCAAAAGATGGGCTTCATTCGGTACCTCCTAGAAAAGACGTCCTTCTGCAATATTTACCCCGAAGCCGGGTTGGAACAAGCAAACTGCTGGCTGACAATTCACGGTGTTGGGAGATCGTTCAACTGTTAATAATGAGACGGCAAAAACAGCCGGGAATCTAGGATCTAGTGCAGACCGTTGGATTAGCTGATACAAAATTGGACTGGTTGTAATTATTAGAGCTTTCAATTGCCGTTCTTATTTCCTTAGTAAAATAATTAGACACTTAATAAAAATAACGAAGCATGATTTGTCTTCGTCGAGCCGATAGTCGTGAAGGCGTTAACTAGATCGTATAAAGTTTTCTTTTCGCGTCTAGATCTTTTGATTCCAACTAAGATGCTGGAACTTACTTTAACTAAGCCGTTGACGTCGCTTCATACCTGAGACTCTTCGAAGTCGTAAAATATTGCTAAAGAGCTATAGACAAAAATGTTTATACCGTTAAGGCTGGAAAATCTCTTGGAATCAAGCCGCCGTAGAACTCCATTAAAGATAATTCATAGATGTGACTTTCTTTTATTTCAACTGTTACGCAACACCCGCATTGATCATCATTACCTGCTGAGATGTACGTTGTTATTTAACATACGTTAATTCGTGTTCAATATCAATCAGTCGAACTTTTTTGCGGGACTGCGCAAAGGAGCTCGTCGCGAACAGTCGTCTAATGCAGAAAGAAGTCCCTCCTAGTACTTCCATTAATACGTTCGCGTTTTACCTGTTATATTAATACACCTGCGTGAGACGACTCCGAAGACGCCCGATCACCTGCCCGTTCCTTGCTGGCGTCTCATTAAATAATCTTCGAGCATCTGTTGTTCTGTGGTTTTGTGTTCGTCTACGCATATTCAGTAGAATACAGTACAAGCTTCCGCTAGCGATAGAGTACAGGTTAGCGTACCACAGGGGCATAGTGCGTCTCTTATTCATGCTGCCCGAAAAGCTGGCTTACATTTTAGCCAAAGCAAATGTACGCACACGGGCAGGGGGGTTCATTCGAAGGTTCGTCGAGAGTAGGTTGATTGGTGGCATCGACCAGGTGCCGGCATTTCCTGTTGCATACGTATGGGTTTTTAGTATCCAGCTGGCGTTAGAGGATTGCATCCGTCACAAAACTGTTGTCCGTCGAAGTCATGCGAATAGTTACAGTGTAAATCATTACTCTTTTCGATGTATAGAGCGATGATTCCTTTTGCCATAGTCATGCTGCGAATTCTAAAATTCAAACAGGACTTTATCAAACCTATAATAGTGTTCTCTTTTGAGGCCTTAATAATAAGGCGAGATAAATAAAGACAAATGTATGCTACATATGAACGAATACACTCAGTATAGTCTGTACAAGAACTATTTACATATAGAGGCAGTTCCTGCCGTATACAGCCTGGCCTAGAAGTAATGCTGTGGCATACCTTTATGGGACAATCATATATGCATGTGGTCTACAGATGTTCATTTAGAAGACAATCCCATGTTATTGCAGAAAATATTCCTTAATATATTGACGAAAACATCAAATAAAACTTATACCAAATCATTTTTTACACGCTTACGTAACCAGTGCTCTCAAATTCTGTCAACTGTCGGGTGTCATTATCTATATATCGCACACTAAGCGATATTAGCAGTTTAACTAATTATAATTAGCCCATGAACGATGTATTTATTTCATGCTACATAACCGCCAGTAGCACCAATCACGCAAAAACCCATATGCGCCTACCTAGCCAGTGAAACCGCCAAACTGACAAGCGCACCCGTTGAATCTGTCCCAGTGGCTATGCATTTTCATCGATTATTCCAATGGCAATTCAGCTGGCTGTCTTTTCACGAGCTGGTTGCGCTGTTCGTGATAAAGTATTGCCTATGTTCCTTGAGTGTCCTACTGGAAAATTGTCACTTTGGTTATTCCTTTGTGCGCAGTATCCTGAAGCAGCGGTGGCTGTTAAAAGAGGCAGGCATCCACTCCCACGTTGAGTTACGTTTCCCCACGTCTCACACAACTTTTCGATGATATTAGTTGGTTGACCGCGGAGACTTCAGCCCAGCATCAGCTTTATCAGCAATGGCTAAACATCTCAGCTGAAATTCATATCAGTACAACTGTAGGAGTATCAATACAACGTCAGTTGTGTATTTCTCCCACCCAGTCGACGGTTCTTACCCTCTAGTAAAGCAGAAACGATGTCTTCAACCCCCCACCCCATCCAATGTGAGCGCTATCCATCCCTGTTCACCCGTTGGGAACAGCCGGGAAAATTGGCTTGATGCATCGATTGTGGCTTCATTCGTTTGTCGCCTATTTGTGTTTCATCGTCATCGTCGTCCGTTATACGCTAAGCGGCTCCGACGCATCGCGGGTCTGTCGTAAGTAGGTGGTAATGCTTTGGCGGGTTTGAGCGTCACTATAAATTCGTCTCGAAATCCATGATAAAGAGCAATGGGCACCTGGAATTGAAAGCTGATGAATCACGACACGACTTGTTAATCCGTGTGAGTTTTCGATCGATTCATGAATTATGTGGTTTTTTGTGTGTTTGTATTGTTGATTGAAAATTTTTTGTGTGCTATTACTGACTACTATGTTTTTATGTGGGTGTGTGCGAAAAACGCAAATCACTGGAGGGAGTCGAACCGTAAGTGATGGCTATTATTGGCTGATTTTATTATGTAGGGTTCATCGAACGCCTAATTTGTGATCATTTGTTAAACTATATCTGCTTAGTGAGAATGTCATGATAGGTAAGGAGCGTTAGTACAATAAAGTAGTTGTATTTTATGTTAAATTATTCGATCTGTCCGTGTATGTGCGTGCGGATAGCACCCTCGAATATGATACGAGTAAGGTGACGGACCCCCCAGATTCGATAGAAACGCCTGGAATCAACATTAAAAGGTTTCTTTTTCGAATGTACTACATATGTATACGATCTGACATTGAAAAGCGGCTTCAAGACCGATAATTACCATGACAATTCCCGTTCACCGTCTTTTTTTCGAATTTGTTCTTTTTCGAAATCGGGTATTAGCATAGCTCACACCTAAAAGAAGCAAAGTCCTTCGCCGACTATTAAATGCTCACACGAAAAATGCCCTTTTTTTTATTTCTTGCGTTTATTTCCCGCGTTTACCCTCACATCTGCTTCTCCACCTCTCATCATAACTTGGTATGATCCGCGCACCTACTATTACTGTCACCAGACAACCGTTTCGCTAATAACGCGCAGATGTCGTCGAAGACGAACGCGTTCGCCTTTGCATTCTATCGCAAACATTACTTTTTTCCTTGTCACTTCCTGTCAGTTCAGCTTGGCTCGTTCGCATAACCAATAGGCTCTTTCCTACAACAAGTATTTAGTTTATTGATTTTGGCCACGCACGCCCTATTCCGCATCTAATATTTCTTCTTGCCGAAATACACACAGGGTTAACTGTAATTAACTTCAGTGGAAACTTAGACCGCAATAACAATTGGATTTTCAACTGTCGTATCTATAGCAATTGTGTCACCGAGCAGTTGTTGCTTTCAGTCAACCAGAGTCGTCGTCGTCGTCGTCCCCTGCTTTAACATCTTCATAACGTTGTTGCAACGTTCTCTCTATTATTATCAGATAGCGGCATCATCGGGGGAATTTCGGCGACATGAATTTAGTGCTTGCAGTCGTCAGGTCTGACTCCGGTTTCGACCCGTGCGCGTCCAAATTGACAAAGCGCATTGGTTCGACCGACCCAATCTGCCGATTAACTGTGTTCGTTGCCATTGCGCAAACCCGAATCGGCTCAGTGGGAACGCAACCCGGGCGACAACACGTCATTCTTTACCGAAGAAGCAAGTAGGTAAGAAAGCAGTTAAGAAAATATGACTTCTTGTAAGAGTATTTCTGCGTGCGAGAGACAGCCGTTTACAGGCCAGCCGAATTTACGGCGCGAGATGCCAAATACCGTGGCGACACTATGAAGCTAGCATTTAGAAGCTAGCTAGCGGCATTGCCCGACATGGCAGTAGCAGTAGAGCTGTCTGCGCCCGAATTCGGGGTTCGGGTGGGAAAAAAGAGAAAGTTCCGAATCGAAATGGGTCTCCATAGCTACCACATTGGCGAGCGCAGCTACGGCGACTCAGCGTCATTTGATAACGAAGGAATTATAGGTAACCAATACTGAATGAACGTTTGAATGGGCAGTAAAAAATAAAGCATATAACTGTATGTGGCCATCAATGTAGTGGTGCAGTGATGAAAACGAGGGCATATATAATGAATGCTTTGACACCTACGCTGCGCTGAGAGGATTGAACGAAAATGAAGGAAAGACATTTAGGAGAAATATAGAAAGTTGTTTTTTTTTTTTTATTTTACTTTTGCCTATAACAAAAAGTAGTATGAAATCAAAAGCGTGAAATTTTCCTTTTTTGACCTGTCTTCCTATGCTTTTACTTAGCAACCTGGATCGATAACAATCTAATTTCGTATATTACTTTTGTAAGCATAGATGTTACCCTAAACAAGCAAGTTTCTGGCTGATCAGACCCAGGTTGAGGAATGATTACTGGGCATAGATAGTACCGTACGAACACGGGTAGATTGCCTTTACCGTTTTCAATAAATTGTCGTTATTATTGCAAGCCAGCCTTCAGTCCTATGGTAACCAGTCACAGTAATAACTTAAGCCGCAGATTCGCGTAGTAAGGCTTCAGTAATTGTATGATATTAGACAGATGAGTGTGTCTCCTATGAATAATTATGATCGATGTATGACTTGTTTGCGAATTCTTCTGATTTCAGATGCGACACACGTCGACGCTGCTGAACGGCGTGCTTCAACCTCTTCCGTTTCAATCGTTCGCGACAAATTGCTCGATATCGGAAGTGATGTTCTCCCAGGAAACGCTTTCAGCCGATCTCTACGTTATACTATGCGCTTCGCTGGCGACAGTAGCCTTCAGTATAAACTTCGTGCAAACCCTGGTTATGTAAATAAGCACTCGCCAGTGTTACCTAAAGCTCTTAAAATATTGCACCGGTAGAACACCATAAGTAGATAGCTGAATAACGAAACAAGCGGTAGAGACACATTTTATCCAGGATGTACAGCCGGATTTATTGTTTCATTATTGAAATAGAGGTAACTATATCGGCCAAACCTCTGGCTAAAGGACACCAGAAACTACTGTTTCGAGACCCGCGAAATGCTACACGCTTCGTACAAATAAAAACGTTTATATCGCCTGTCCATATTGTGTTATGAGAAGTATCAATTATGGTTTGTGCGGCTTTGCACCATTGCCAGGGAATCTAGCGCCGAATCCTCATGGCGGTCGAAGTTCTGTTTTCTTTAGCAGCTTTTGTAACAACTATTGCGTGTTTGAGGCAGTTGTCACAGCTATTTTTCACTTTTTATGTAACCTAAGCGCTGGGTATGAAGATGAACGAGCTGTTTGCCCGGTCCGGTATATATAGAGTTATGTGCAATGGTAGCATGCAGATGAGTCTGGTTGTGTTTGCTCGTTCGGGGCCGCGGGCGGAAAGCATCTAATGGAGTGCGACATGAGGGGTTACATCTAGCCATTCTCTTATCAGCATAGCTATACAAAGCAATTCTGGGCCCAAAAACGCTTTTTAAGGTATTTCCTGCAAAAACATAAATATCATCTAACCCTTTATTTCTATGGTCTACAGCGTTTTCCTGTCACGATGCTGGCAGTCACTATACCTTCTCAACGGCTGTGTTTGCGGTATGGTGACGGCGTGTGCGTTGATGTACCACGCCATTGCGGAAAACTCGCCGGAGGTCAGGCCAGACCATTTAGCCAAGGGTGGCTCCCATGCGATGCGGGAGGCGTGCAACATGGTGTCAGCCATGTTTACAATTATTATGTTAGTTGGATACACAGCCAACTTAACTGCGATCGTAGGTAAGTGTACATATATAGTGTTTGCTGCTCCCTTTGGAATAAATCCTTGAAATGTCGTTTGGGGAGGGATATAAATTTTTATGTGGTTGATAAGCACATATAAGACCCATCGGTCACCGTCTGATTACAGAGTCTTTGTAATTAGGTAATTAATGAGCAAACAGCTGCATAAACACGCAGACGTATCCGTACAGATCGTACTGTCTCGGCGGGGGCGGGGCGGGGTGGGGGGGTGGTAATAACGAGACCGATATCAGTGTAATAGACGCAAAGCCAGCCATAAAGGAAGACAAGGCCAATTTCATCCGTTGATCATGATCGATCTGTATAAATCGACGGACAGGTACAAATAGACAAGAGAGTCAATAACGGATTGTAGTCTATTGTTGGTAAAGGGAAACAGAGATACTCTGACAGGCGCATCCGCAGTTACAACAGAAACTGAGCTTTTGTTACAGCCCTGAACTAAGAATACGCATTCGTTGCGTTATTGATCATTTAGAAGTACCCAAAAAGACGACGTTTAAAGCAGAATCTTGTGAATTATTTAAAAATGAGAAATTCTCTCTCTTCTCTCTTTCCATATATATATATATATATATGTACATGAAAAAACCATACGGTCCCAATAACTTGTTAAATGATTTCATCTTTGGAAGTTTCATATTGTTTATTCTATATATCTAGCCGTTTTATTCTGTTCTAGTGTACTTCATTGAGTCGGCGTCCATCATACTGGGCCTGGGCTACTTAAATAAATAGTGCCGGTCGTTTAACAACAGAACGGCGGCAATCTTTCCTGCCCTTCACTAACCTATATCACAGATTATTTTTTAACCAACATCAAAAACTATTTTTACTGTGATTTACTTGAACGTAAACAATCCACAATGATAAATTATGTTCTAATTTAAACTGATTTATTTATTTATCTTCATTATCATATACAGCCCATAAATTCCTCGCATCGGTAATGCCCGGAGTTTTAAATTCCGTCAGCCGTAATAGACGGCTCAGCCTTCTGCTCTCTACGATTTCTACAACCCAGGTAAATCGTTACAGCTAGATCACGGCTTTACGAAAATATATTTTGATAATTCCATAACCCTTCAGACGATTGGCGGTATATTGGCCTTTTGTGATTGGTCATTTTGTTATGAAATAGATTTCAACAGCCTACTTTGAGCGTAGCTTATATCTAAATGATGATTTTTTTTTTTTTCGTTCTATTAGACAGAGCTTCAGCTGTGAATATATACCCGTTGATCGTAATAAAACAATATATGATTGAAACGAATGAAACACGTGAAGTCTTTCGTTAAAAGGGGTCAGCAGCCCGGATAGCTGACAAATCGCACAGTTCAGAAAGCAACTCTGCTTTCTTTTCCTGTGCCATTTATTCCACAATCAGATTGTTATATTTGTTGTATATTGTTATATACATTTGTACCTTTTTACTGGTAAATAATACATTAAATATGATAACAATACATAACGGGCAACTTTTGAAATGGCAATTAAACGATGCTACAGATATAACATTGCATACAGAGTATTCTACAGGTCAGATTATTATTACTGTAATCTATTCATTATCAGATTCAGTCGAATAAAGAGCAACGCTACCACCAACTCTTCTCTCTATATTGGTTAATAGGTCATAGTCCGTTTGCAGGTAGCAGTCTTATGCGTTTCACTCATCCAACCATGGTCATCAAATTCACACACGCGGATTTGTCTACCGCCGTATCAATGGGGAGAGACGTTCTCCAGGTAAAATTCGAAATACAGCTTAGCGATTCCGAGAGCAACGCAAGCATTACTACTTCAAATAATAACAAACATTAACAACCGTAATAATCACCGTAGATATGGCATTAATTGAATTGTTTATTAATATCGTCCGTTTGGTAAATAAATCCGCTCGAATTAAAATGACGAGGGTCTACAACCAACCCATCCGCAAATACTAGAAATTGACCTTATAATAGTGTACAACGACCAACGATCGTTTCTAGACCTTCTCTCAGGTCCCTCCTCTCGACATTAACAAGTCAATGTCTCACTTTCTATCTTTATTTTTTTTTATATGTGCCTCACTTTAACCCTTGCATTATCATTGGTTATCGTAGACTACCTAATATTCATTGCTACATTTGATTATTACTATCAGTTTGGTACAAATCTGCTAGTTTTACCTACTTGAATCAACAAATTAGTAAAGTACGTAGGCCAGCTGCTGAGAGATACTTTGGGCCCTTACGGAAACACTACTGGTGACACTTTCATACTTTATCGACGTGTGAAAAAGGTGCTTTTTTCTTAACAGCTCTTAAAGGCCTATTTTCAAAACCTGAATGATTCCAGTGCCTGGACGCGCTGAATTACGCTAGATAGAGGTTTGGTCTAAAATTACAATCCTATTAGAACTGTATATGTGCGTGATTTTTCTAAAAGCAAAGTGATTTTCACTTTATCTTCTGTAGAATGGTGGCTGGAACTTACTGTGCGCAAATGCTTATCTGCGCTCTTCTGCTCTTCGAACTGACGATGAATTCGAAACGTGAAGGCGATGGAAAAACTGTAGCGAGCCTCGATGTACAGGTTCGTTTATGCAACCGTGCCATATTGACAAAAAGCAGAATTAACATTTTGAGTCTTTATTAGTTATATAAGGATATCGTGTAGTAACTGTATATTTTATGCAAATAGTGATGCCAATACGGTCCCTCTCTCTGTCTCTGGAAATGCAAAGGAAGGAAAATCACTAAGGGATACTTATTTAATTTTGATAATGCATAACAGTTGATAATTTATATAATTTATGAAACAACGCATTGATGAAATGGTATGGCAAAAGTAGATACAATTAAATTATTGGCGATACATTTGCTTGGAGGGAAAAAGACTTTCTGTATCAACTACGGTTACAATTTGGAACTATTCCAACTATAAATAACTAATTTTCTAGCTAATCTTCACGTTTCTACCTATTTCAGGTTCTATGGTTGAAATACATCCTGTTAGCGTTAAGTACAGTTCCCTTTGCTGCGCTGACCATTTATCACTCGATGGCCATGCAAAGAAATCTTTGTTTCGTCGTTAAGGACTCAATTCAGGTAGGCTAAGTCTGCACCCCAAAAAAAATAACTCATGCTGAAATGGAAGCCCGCTAAACTCAAAATATTATAAACATGCGGTGTTGTATTATTACAATGAAAAATAATTTTAAAAAGCCATTTTCGTTTCTTCAGTCAGTCTTTAGACGTGTTGGAAGAAAAGGACATCCTATAGTCTCCTATAATCTACCAGTGAGCCGATTAATGTCAATAAACGCAAAAATTCCTTGCCCTACTCACCCCTTACATCCGTAAACAGAATAATGCAAAACGGGTTTTTCTGCTCTATAAGACAAACTTATGAAAATATTCGCCATGCTTGTTAAGCGGTCCTCATTGAAAACTAGCTATAACTACCGTCTTCGTTAATTATTAGAAAATTCCAAATTAAAGTCAAAATTTTCCAATAATATTCGCCACCAGGTGTGGACTCTTGTCTCAACTGTGCTGCTGGCCTCAGCCCTGCCTGCCGTTCACGTGCTTTCCGATCAGGTCATCTGTCGAGGGACACTGTATCTTCTCCAACGGTTACTTTGTCTCAGCCGAAATGAGCACGCACTTGATGGCGCCCTTATTCCTCCAGTATTGCCTGATGAGCCTTATCTTGGAATAGGCCATGGTAGCCGGGAATGTTCTCGACGACTTGACTTACTGCCAAACAGAGAGCAGTTCATTTTATGTATTAGTGGCCAAACAGCAGATTCCCGAAGCCCAGTTTCTCAGGTTAGCGCCACTGGAAGTCAAAGTCATTACGATGCGCAGCACCAAATCCATCAACAACAGGCCGACGTGATGTACTAGCTAGAGAATGTCCATCGCGCATCAACAGTATCTTATCTTTACTTGAATCCGTACATTGGCCAAATTCAGTATGTCTGCTACTTGTTTTCGGTAGATGTCTGCTAAGGCTAATCAGTCATTTAATCCTAGAGCGGCTAAACAATGAGATTAATTAATATATGACTTCAGAGTTTCAACTCTAAGAGATTCCAGAGTCAGGGTTCGAGGAAACTCCAGCGCCGAAGCTCACAACAACCCAGTGCCGGAAAGCAAAGTAACTTCAGAGGCGCGGCCCCAAAGAAATCAGAGCCGCAATCTGTCAGGAACCATAGGCCGACAGCAGGCCAAAAGGATACATGACCAAGCTGGTTGGTTTACGACTAGCCTGAAACCAATTAGGGTTAGTGACTTTAGAATTTACATGATGCGGTTAGCTTAAAACCCATTTAATCAAATCTGCGAGGACGATTTTTGTTGTAAGAAGCATTGGGTTAATGCTTTACGGATTGTAATTCAGTGGGGCATGAAAATAGGGGCATTTCTCTGTCAATGAAAAACAGTAAAAAGTACCAATAAGCTTAAGACATGAGAGATAAATGAGCTAAGTTGCTGAAGTACAACGTTGGAATTGTTGTACATACACCGTACAATTCCCTGCAATTAATCTTACGTTGCATTATAGACTGTCCAGAAATAGGTTGTTAAGAGAATCGAGATAGAATTAAACCCATTAATGTTCGATAATTTAGTAGGTGCTCAGAAACTCAATGTACCTAGCCAAAGCTACAAGAACGATACCACAAATCTTGTGGAGGCTACAAAAGTAAGAACAAACGGAACAAAATGTATTGCATTTTAGTCATCACCATCTATAGCTTCTGTTTTAAACATCAACCAGAAACACTGAACTTACGAGGTCGATCGGGTTTAATAGTAATAAGGTACACCTTGGTCAGTGTGTACATATGAAAAATTATCACTGCAAAAAGTTATGGGATAAGCCAGTAACTCCTACTGTCTCATTGCTCGTTTGACGGACATTTTTCATGCATACCGAAATACATAGCAAAAATTAATGACGGTCACACGTAGTGTTTTCTCACGACGTATTTCATACATATGCTGCCTACGATTCAAATCGCTACGCCAACGAAGTTGAGTCGCAACATAGAGCGCGTTACACAAGAAATTTTATCACCTGCCGTCTTTTTGTTTTATCGCTTAGCATTTTCTTTTCTCACGCTGAAATTGTCCACGTATTTTGTGTAGATAAAAGCGCTCTATTGATGTGCTATATAGGCGATTATTACGAGCATATAATATAATTAAAATAAATTATTATACACCGATATATA